GTGATTTTATTAAAGCATAGGGACAGGACCCGTGGGCAGGAAGAGCTAGCTGCCCCAGGACCATGGGGAGAGACTGGTTATGTACTTGGGAGATTGGGGGAGGTCAAGTCCAGGGGAAGTTTCCAATGAGATTTTCATGTGCTAAATTAGACTCACAGGATCCTGGAGGCCTAGCTATTGTCAGGCTAAGGTTGTCTTTCCCTCTAGCAAAGCACCAGCGGTAACAAGTGGGGGGTTCCTGGAGAAACGTTTTTCTCTGCCGGCCTCAAGGATTTGTCAGTGGGCTGCCGGTTCTAAGGAAATTTAATTTCATCTGCCATTTCCTTCTGCCTTTGTTTCCCACATCGCAGTCAGCTTGATTTATCACATTTGGCCACCAGGGAGTTTAGAAAGTATAGCCTTTTAACTGGGTACTCCTGCTGCCGGAGGGACAGGGGCTATTGGGGGGTGACTCTGGTCTCTTCCAGGGCCCTGCAGGGTGTTTGGAGGCCCAGCAGTGAAAGGGCCAGGCGACAGCTGGTGCTCGGAAGCGGCTGATGTGTGGCTCTGTGTCTTTGTTTTCAAAAATGTCTCCTCTGAACGCCCAGCGCATTTATACCTGTAACAGGAACTCTCCGGATGGGCAGTGATTAAGTGATTTGCGGACCCGTTACTTTGGCGTAACAACCTCTTCATCATACAAGAGTCACAGTGGAGAGGAGGAACTAATGCCCAGGTTTGGAGGGATGCCCAGTGGTGAGCGGAGTGATGCCGGCTCAGCTTAATGAGGACTCTTTATCCCCTTCAGTCTAGTGGCTCGGAGAGGCCCAGGAGGACCCGGCTAAGCCCTGTCACCTCTCCGAGTGACTCTGGGTGTCCTCGCCCAGAAGCCAGGGGGCTGGGGCAAGCCACGATTCAGCAGACAGGGGCTGTGTTCTGGACCCACCTTAGGAGACTTCCTGTTGGGGGCCAGCGAGTCCTGGGGTTCGAATGCCAGGATATTGTGCACCTTTGAACCAGACATCCGGCACACCCCCTTTCTGGGGCGGTAGGCGTCCTGCCCTGGCTTTGCAGAACTGGCCCCCTGTCCCCCCGGCCTTCCTTCCCCTCTTTCTCATCAGTGTCGGGGAGCCCTGCCAACGTGCCAGGGGTTTTAAGTGCACTGCCTTATCCCCACGACAGTCACATGAAGCAGGTATTGTGAGGAGAAGAAAAACTGAGACCCGGGGGTTAGGGACACAGAGCTGCCAGGTGACGGAGGCAGAAATTGAATCCAGAGTGGGTGCTCTCAACCCTACACCACGCCCCAAATCTGAAGTCCCCCTCGCCCAAAGTATTCCAAGCAGGGCTGCTGGATTTAACAAAGCAAAACAAACAGGTTGCACAATTAAGTACGAATTTCAGATAAACAACACATTATTTTTTTTAATGGGGAAAAAAAATTTTTTTATGTTTATGTTTGAGAGAGAAACAGACAGAGACAGAGCATGAGCAGAGGAGGGGCAGAGACAGAGAGGGAGACACAGAATCCGAAGCGGGCTCCAGGCTCCCAGCTGTCAGCACAGAGCCCGATGTGGGGCTCGAACTCATGGACTGTGAGATCATGACCTGAGCTGAAGTCGGACGCTCAACTGATTGAGCCACCCAGGGGCCCGTTTTTTTGTTTTTGTTTTTGTTTTTAACGTTTATTCATCTTTGAGAGACAGAGCATGAGAGGGGGAGGGGCAGAGAGAGAGGGAGACAGAATTTGAAGCAGGCTCCAGGCTCCGAGCTATCAGCATAGAGCCCAACGCGGGGCTTGAACCCACGAACCGTGAGATCGTGACCTGAGCCGAAGTCAGAGGCCTAACTCTGACTGAGCCACCCAGGCACCCCCAGAATTTATTAATGAGGGATTTTGCTTTTTATTTTTTTAACCTAGTCTTTGAAATCTGGTGTGTATTTTAAACTCACGGCTCGTTGGGGTTTGCACAAGCCCTGTTTCAAGTGCCCAGGAGTCACGTGGGGCTTGTGGTGGCCTGGAAAGTGCTAGCACCTGGAGGCTGGCCAAGCCCGGTGCCCGGATGCTTCGGGATAGACGAGGAGGGAGGGAAGGTAACCCCACCCCCATGGCTGCCTGGGTGCACGGCTTTGTGATAATTGCTTTTCTGTACATAGTGTGATTTCACCTTCAGAGAAAGCTTAGGAACTAGGGATTCTTGTTATTATTTTGGAGGCTCCGACTTGCCTGAGGTCACTCAAAATTCCCTGGTCGCCAACTCCCAACAGCTGACCGCCCCATGATCTGCCAGAATCAATCTGTGATGACCAGCCAGGCTGGTCAGCTGGCTCAGGGTTTTGGCTGCCCCGTCCTCCCAGACCACCTCCCCAGGCCGCCCTCCAGGGTAGCGCGGGGGGGCCTGGGAAGCCAAACACGACAGCTCTCCCTCGACTAAAAACGAGTTCTGGAGGCTGAGAGCAGACGTGCTCTGTTCTGCCTTCTGTGGAAGGAGCCGGGGG